AGGTAGAAATAAATTAACGCCGGGTTAAATTATCGGCCCTTTTTATCCAATCAGAGGCCTTCTCCCACATAATTTAACATTGCGTAAATTTGTAGCGCCTTTTTCTACTCAATCAAAGCCTCGTTATTATTGTAAGAGGGCCCCCATTTAGGTAAAAGGGCTACGGTATAATTTTTATTGCGCCAGAAAAAATAATTTATCTGCCCAGTTAAAATTATCCGTATGAATGCCTCTGATTGCGTGTAACGGCGCTTATAATTTTAACCACGCGGTAACCGTCGCGGTAAAAATAATTATTTCTGAGCACGAATGGCCAACCAAAACGCCAACTGACATGTAAGAGACGTTTCTGCAACACAGCTGACATCTAGTGACGCGATGATCAAATGTACCAACTATAAAACCATACAAAACGATGACATACAAAACCCAGTTTGAGGCCAGCGATCAGTACTAATTATGTCAGTTCATTACCGTGCTGTCAATTTACACCTGAATATGCCTAGAAAATTTGTTATAACGGTTAATTTATAGTTTATTTCAAAACAATTAATTAAACAGCGTGCACGTTTATGCTCACCAAGTGAACATAATATACATACGAGCATATCACGATTCTTTTGATTGCTATGTAAACTTAGTGGGGACAAATATATTTACGTACAAATGTTGTGTCTTGTATCATACGATCAACACAACCACAGTATTGTTTATAAAGTATGATTTGGATTAGACAGTGCCACACAGCCATGTAACATGCTTTCAGATTTTAAGTACTATGACGTTCACACAACTAACATAGAGACGCTACCAATGGCCACTGTTGCGCGTTTGCGAAAAACATTACATGAAATTTATAAATGACGCCTGCTGGCACTCTCCTCGCTATAGGCAATACCATAATTTTGTTCAGATCTGGGTTTAAAAACATAGCAAAATGATACCAACTTGCAGTACAAAAATGTCGGTTGTCACACCAGAGTAGATGCCTAACAGCACATGTAATCAAGTGCCACGAGTCAGCATAGCAGGAAATTTAGGAATTATTGGACCTCTACTTACCTGCAACTGTACTTATTGATAGCCTGAGATCTAGCTGGGAGACCACACTTGGTGTGCTCGGTGATCTTACCCAGTTACACCACAGAGATTTACTTAACATCCGTCTTAAGATAAACTATTTGTAGACTAAAATGCGTTTTTGAAGATCTGTTTCTATAAATTTATTACACGGTTATTGGCACACAATTCAAACTAAATATACAATTCATTAGACAACATATTACATAATAAATGAGATGATCTACATTTTTTTTGAAATAAGCCTTGCTGATTCCAAACACATTTTACAGTGAATTTTTTTTTCGTAAAAAACTACTGTCTAAACAATATAATCTGGTTCACCACCGGCTACTAGCTGTAGTGGCTGCAGTGGCCGGGCTAGCCCAAGTCGGCCTCCCATGAGGGAGACCAGAACCCTGCTCTAGCTATAGCTGGCAGCTGCCAGGCGCAACTTGCGGCACTGTGGCCATACTCGTGGTCGTGGGCAGCTGGGGCCATCGCGGTAACGGGAGAGATGGGAACGCTTGGGCGTCGTCGCCCCCGGACTGTCTTCCTCGCTGTACACCGAGACGGTGTAGACGGGTCGAGCGGCCGAGCCCGCGCGTGACTCAGCAGCAAGTCTGCGCAGCAGACCCAGCTCCTTTGGTTGAGCAGGCTTTCACTTCGACTCTAATCCTCTCGTTACTCTTGCTTTCAGCTGGCTCACCTGCTAAGCAGTGAAGCCAACATCAGTAGTATATGCGGTACAAAATTCCCCAAATACATTTTTCGTCGCAATTTTGAGTCAATTCATTGGCCGTTGTTAGTGAACGGAAACATGTTTCATACGTCAGCTGGCTAACTGACTATTAAAAAACTTCTGCAAATTTCAATGGGCTTGTGAAACTTAGTGTGTGCCCACCAGACCATGCATTCATCAATAGTATTTACTAATCAAAATTTATCAATCAAATAGGCCATTCTTTAATCAATTAGTGTGATTTGGCAGCCCAAGGGAAACGAGGAATCTCATACAGGACAGCACGGGAGCAAATACACTGTATCTGCAACCATCTGATGCTGATGATTTTACACAGCCATACACAAGCTACCACTAAGCTAGTAAATGAACCAATCTCTGCTCACGGACGATCAAGCGATTCTACAAGCTGCATCTGACTATGTCAGATGAGCTAAAAAGTGTGGATGTACGCTAATGCACACAAGTGTTAACTATCGTTCCAATATCTTACATACATGTTTACACTCTTTGATAGTAAAACTTACGTACAATCCATTACCACTAAAATTAAAGGTCGCTCAATGCAAAACACAATAACAATAGCATATGTAGACAGTGACACCAATATCAACTAAACTGAAATAGACATATGTTAGTTAGATTCAACTTAGAGCGCATACACATGGATCAGAAGGGTTTTCACAGTATATAATAATTGTAGGCGCTAACCCTGATCTTCCCCTCTTTGGAGATTGAGACCTGGCTCTCTCAGTGCATCTTGATGTTGATGGAGCCATGCGTGGACACACCGCTACCTCCTGTATGCCACAGTGCCGCAAGCTGAAGCAAGCTCAAGGTTCTGAAATAAGAATTCCCAATGTAATATTAGAACATCGACATTGTTGTTGTTCTCTATCCCAGTTACATGGGATCACATGTATTACAATTTTAGTAAGTTGACCCAAAGAATATGCCCATGTACTTAGAAGAGCTCCCCCCCCCACGCCAACCGAATATGTGTATGGTACATCATGCTCTGACATCGTCAGGCTAAAACAGTGTAAGACACTAGTTTGCATGGAGATAAGAGGGACAGAAAAGTGACACTCTGTGTATGCCTGTATTGAAAAGTAATGTAAAGCTATATGTGTAAAGCTGCAATACCAACAAACCAAACAGCCAACAATCCACAGTGATGCTTTGTACAAAACGTATACAACTTTATACTAGCTGCACTTAAATACAGTACCAACCTATCAATATAGTGAGCCATCTTCATTAAACCAATCAATTGATAGAGTTTGCTTTGAGATTTACTCACTCCTGATCAGGGGGTTGTGTGTTACAACATACACACAACCCACCTAATAAACTATACTACCTCCACATTTCATCCACCCCGTATTTCCTGTGAAATTCAAAGATTTTATGGCGGAGTAAAATATTGGGGGCAAAAAATACATGAACTTAGTATTTTCGCAATGACTTCACACAACCCTCGCCGTAACCGACGACACCGACGGCATTTTCCGTCGGTGCACTCCTCACATGCCGTGCTGCCCCTGAAAATCCCACATCACCGACGGCAGTCCACTTACGTGCCCTTTTATGGAACCGCCGTCGGTGCCCTTCCCTAGCTAAAGTTCCTAAACTAACAAGAAGTTCATATAATTTCCTGAGAGTCCATACCAAATGCAACGTTTAAAGATTTTAGGCAGAATCTCACACTCAGTGTTTTTCGTGGCAATAAAAATACAACTCAGCGCACGCCGCATACGGCTTACGAGATCCAAGGAGCTAAATATAACAAGAGCCGCAGAGCGACTGGGCTCATCTGAGGTCTGTTGCTATGGTTATAAACGTAAAATTTCAGTCGTGCGTAGTGACACATTTGTTAGGCGCAGATATGCAGCTACGCAGTTGCGTACACATCATTTCAGCAACCTTGTAAATCCCATTGGTTGATACAAATCGCGTGCCTGAAACTCCTGTTTTATGGTGCATTTAGTCCGAGATTCCTCTGACCAATGCCCACACCGACGATTTTGGTGGTTTTGATGTGGGTTAGGTCAGAGCAACTTGCCTATGCAAAACGTGGAATTTCTCCGATCCCGCCGAGGATCGCTGTTTCATTGCTCCAAACTCACAATTGGGGCTATCAATCAAGATCTGATGCACATATATCAAAAACTGGATCATTGCACCTGAAGCCACTGACCAGATGAAATCCTAGATGTGGGGTAGAATTGACATATTGGAGTAGGATCATGATTGTGATAGATTCACTTGGGATGCCGCGTCTTACCTTAGAGTGGAGATGCTCATCACGTAGTACTTGCTTGCATTAAACTCCATCTGGCATATCGATGTTCGTCGTGCCAATTGCCTAGGTCATCATGGAGTGCCTTCTGATATTTCGGAGGTGGTGATATCACGGTACAACAGACAACTGTCAGCGCATACTCGGATACGGGTAGTTATGTTGTGTGGTAAATCATCAAGAAAGAGAAGGAATAAGGGCAAGCCTAGTAGTGCCTTGTAGGAACTCCTAATGAAAAATTAGTCAAGTCAGAAGAGTCTCCGTCTACAACTACATGCTGAGAACGTTGAGTTTTATCCAGCGTAGGTTTCACCGGATAGCATAATAATCAAGCTATCTTGGTTAATTTTTACTCAACCGTGTTGATCAAAACGTACTGCTGACGTTTCCATTTAATGAGTTACATAATAATCAAGTTTCTTGAGGTGTTGATGCGGGACCCTGTCAACGGATATACAGAAGTACAATTACATCAGCCTGCTCCCTGTTGACAGTATTCATTTAATAATTAACAAGTTGTAAAATTCTGGTTGAATGATCCAGTTAAAATTGTTGTCAGCAACTCAGGCACCTGACTAGGTACCAAAAATATGTTCAGTAAAAAAGTTGTCTTAGAGTTATTTTTCGATTCAGCTATCGATGATGTAGTAAAATATCTTTCCGGCCATTGTTGTGAGCAAACACGCAAAACCTTTCATAGTGTTATGGCTACTTTTAGTGTTGCTGCTTACTGTTATTATTTTGACTGACTTTGATTTGGTTGCTTTAGTATGAATACAAAGAAAAACTTGAATAGTAGGCCTAGTATGCATATGTGTTCATGGTATTACTCCAATTCTCTGAAGCCAATTGAGAAGGAAAAATGCATAACACACAGTAAAAGGCAGAAAACACTCATTTCAAAATTAATATTTTTACACAATGTACTGCACATATATTTATAACTTTACCTTGTAACAGTTAATGAATGCAGTGTAAATGGAAATTGCCTGGGCTTGCTAAAATCAGAATTTACGCACTGATACAGCTGGTGATCGTAAATAACAAGTGAAACCAGCAAAAATACTTATATAGCCCTACCTGCATATGCATTTACATGCACGCACATTATCTCTAAACATCGCGTTTAACACTCTGCATAAAAGCACCCACTTACCTTTAATTACTAGTTTTATTCCTGGGTTAACACATATGGTTGGCCATCGTACTCAAAAATAATTATTTTTACCGTGGTAGAAATAAATTAACCGCGGTTAAATTATGGCCCTTTTTATCCAATCAGAGGCCTTCTCCCACATAATTTAACCTTGGTAAAATTGTAGCCTTTTTACTCAATCAAATGCCTCGTTATTATTTGTAAGAAGGCCCATTTAGGTAAAAGGGCTACGGTATAATTTTATTGCAGAAAAAATAATTTATCTGCAGTTAAATTATCCGTATGAATGCCTCTGATTGGGTAAACGGGCTATAATTTAACCACGGTTAACCGTGGTAAAAATAATTATTTCTGAGCACGATGGCCAACCAAAAACGCCAACTGACATTAAGAGACGTTTCTGCAACACAGTGACATCTGGTGACGCGATGTCAAATGTACCAACTATAAACATACAAACGATGACATACAAAACCCAGTTGAGGCCAGCGATCAGTACTAATTATGGCAGTCATTACCGTGCTGTCAATCTACACCTGAAATGCAGAAAATTGTATAACGGTAATTATAGTTATTTCAAACAATTAATTAAACAGGTGCACGTTTATGCTACCAAGTGAACATAATATACATACGAGCATATCACATTCTTTTGATGCTATGTAAACTTGTGACAAATATCTAGTACAAATGTTGTGTCTTGTATCAGACGATGCACACAACCAAGTATTGTGTTATAAAGTATGAATTTTGGATTAGACAGTGCACACAGCCATGTAACATGCTTTCAGATTTAAGTACTATGACGTTCCACACAACTAACATAGAGAGCTACATGCACTGCTTGCTCGTTTGGAAAAAAACATTACATGAAATTTAATTGACGCCTGCTGGCCACTCTCCTCGCTATAGCAATACCATAATTTTGTCATGATCTGGGGTAAAACAAGCAAAATGTACCAACTTGCAGTACAAAAATGTCGTTGTCAAACCAGAGTAGATGCTAACAGACATGTAATCAAGTGCCACGAGTCGCATAGCAGGAAATTGGAATTTTGACCATCTACTTACCTGCAACTGTACTTATTGATAGCTGAGATCTAGCTGGAGACCACACTGGGTGCTGGTGATCTTACCAGTTACACACAGAGATTTGACTTAACATCAGTCTTAACGACTAAATATTTGTAGATTAAAACGCGTTTTTGAAGATTTTTCTATAATTTTTACACAGTTATTGGCACACAATTCAAACTAAATATCATTCATTAGACAAACCTATACATAATAAATGAATGATCTACATTTTTTGAAATAAAGCCTGCTGATTCCAAACACATTTTACGTGAATTTTTTTTTCGTAAAAACTACTGTACAATATAATCTGGTTCACCACCGCTACTAGCTGTAGTGGCTGCAGTGGCGGGCTAGCCCAAGTCGGCTCCCATGAGGGAGACCAACCCTGCCTAGCTATGCTGGCAGCTGGGCCGCCACTTGCGGCACTGTGGCATACTCGTGGTCGTGGGCAGCTGGGCCATCGCGGTCAACGGAGGATGGAACGCGGGCGTCGTCACCCCCGGCTGTCTCCTCGCTGTACACCGAGACGGTGTAGACGGGGTCGGCGGCCGAGCCCGCCGCATGACTCAGCAGCAAGTCTCGCAGCAGACCCAGCTCCTTGGTGAGCAGCTTCACCTTCGACTCTAGCCTCTCGTTCTCTTGCTTCAGCTGGCTCACCTGCAGCAGTGAAGCCAAACATCGGTAGAATGCGGGTACAAATTCCCCAAATACACGTCGCAATTTATGAGTCAATTCATGGCCAGTGTGTGAACGAAACGTGTTTCTACGTCGCTGCTAAACTGACTATTAAAAAACTTCTGCAAATTCAATGGGCTTGTGAAACTTGTGTGTGCACCAGACCATGCATTCATCAATAGTTTTACTAATCAAAATTATCAATCAAATAGCCATTTTTATCAATTAGTGTGATTTGGCAGCCACAGGAAACGAGGAATTCTCATACAGGACAGCACGGGAGCAAATACACTTAATCTGGCAACATGATGCTGATGATTTTACACAGCCATACCAAATGCCTACACACTAAGCTAGTAAATGAACCACCAAACTACATACTTACCAAGACAAGTTATCAGAAAAAGTTCAATCTTCATTGGATAAAAATTACCAATTCAAGTTTAAAACTTTCACATCAGGAATGGTAAAATAAATTCTGGAATATTGCTATTCACACAAGAAGCACTTTAACACGTTCAACGCTGCCGGTGTTAACAATGCACCTACCACCCTGCGCTGGGATTTTCTTGTTTTTACTACGTATTCACCTTTTGATTCACCTTTGCAGGAAAGCTAACCAAACTGACACATTTACTCTGCATGAGTGTATTTTCACCCTTACACGTTCAAATAGTATGAAAATCGTTCCCCTTCATAATAATATATTGATTAGAAAACAGGGCAAAATCTGACATTTCGTGCATTTTCGTCTCAAATGCCACCGCACCGGTGGATTTTCGCGAGTTTGTTATGATATCATTCGACAGTATACTATTTTTTCCGGTAAGAAATGTGACAACGGTTACACATGTGTGGGGTATGAACCTTGTTTTGTGTTTCTACATGCAAAAATACCTCGAAATTTTATATACTACACAGTTATCATATTATATACGGTACCGTTAGGAAAACGGTAAACAAACCTTGTTTCGATCTACGCCTTCTAGTTTACCTTCTAGTTTTCCGAATTTACCTTGAGTCTCAATACTCATAATTTCATGTTCGAATCATCGGTAAAGCATTGTATTCTTTAGTTCATGTAAGACTGGGGTAATATAGACTGTCCCTGTTTAATATCTAGGTAGGTAGTGCCTGCCATCTGTTGGAAATCAGAGTAACAAAAACCAATAATCTATCCACGAGCTGACTCGTGGATCTGCGGGGATGCATTTTGATTGTTCCCACGAGCTGACTCGTGGATCCGCGGGGATGCGTTTTGATTGTTCCCACGAGCTGACTCGTGGATCTGCGGGGATGCGTTTTGATTGTTCCCACGAGCTGACTCGTGGATCTGCGGGGATGCGTTTTGACTTGTTCCCAGAGCTGGACTCGTCGATCGCAGGGAGCTTCTTGATTGATTCCCTACGATCTGACTCGTGGTGGGATGTCGCAGGGATGTCGTTTTGATTGGTTCGCGCTACGAGGGCCTTTTTTTTTTTGAACTCGTGGATGCCGGCGTCGGGAAGCGTTCTGATTCCGGCACCAGCTGATCGTGATCCGGGAGGGGGAACGTGCTTAAGGCTAGAGGATGCACACCTTCTCCATCGTCATCTGGCTTCGCATCTTGGCGTTAACACGGCTTTTCTTGACAGCAATGTTGTTACGCTGCCGTCGCTTACGATATTCCTCGCTCTCTTTGCTGATGCAGCTGCAAACAGTAATTGTCCTCGTGGATTACAATGCATCCGTATATATAAGAGTAGATTGTCTTGTTGCTGTATGATAGAACAAGAGAGCCGGGAGAGCGGCTGAGCTATCTGGGTCTGGTTGGCTACGGCTTATAAAACTTCAGTCGTGCGTAGCTACCACATTTGTTAGCCGCAGATAGTGCAGATACGCCAGTTGCGTACACAATCATTGTTAGGCACACGCTCACTATCTCCCCCCATGCGATTTTTGCTTTATTTTATTTAAATGATACTTCCTTTCACTTCCGAATTTGTGTCATAGATTCACAGCTATCTATTTTATCTATCTATAAAGAATTCAACATATGAGCATGATGCTCCAAGTTTACATTAGAGGGCGGGAGTCGTTCTGCTCGCCCACCTCGCTCCGCCACCTGCGTCCACCTCGCCTCCCCATGCCGTCCACCTCCCGTATTAGAGCAACGCTATGGGATCGGAGCGGGTTTAGGAGGATTGTAGGCGATCGAACGGGGTAGAGTTGGTCGAGAAGAGGAGAGGGGGACCACAAATGATGGGGGTGCACTCGGGGGCGGGGGCAGGTCAGAGCTGCACGGGCAAGTGGACTAAAACTCCATGAGGGAATGGCTCATTCATAGGGAGAACGTACCGGGGAGACCCAGCGGCACCCGCTGCCTCCACTTCAAACCCTCTTTGCTCTCAACTCCCCCCTTAAACTCCCAAATTCCCTCCCCCTCAAACCTCTTGACCTCGCCTCCCTCCTGCCCTCCAACCTCCCAATCCCCTGGGCACAACATCCGCAGAATATATTGTAAGCCCCGTTTCCCGCTAGGCGGCCGCGCATAACACAAAACCGGTATCAAACTGTTTCTCACTGGGGGTCCCGTGCTCAATGTACTAACTCTCTGCTCCTTTTCTTAGGGGACCTTTCTCGTTCTCTCTCTTAAATTAATTAAAAAAAAATTAAAACCAGCGATGATCCGGTCATATCAGTACTGGCCCCGATGTAAATACTTGTCTTGAGCGCCGCCCTATGGCCCCTCGGGATGGGACCTAGTCATAGAAATCCATCAAATATAATAGTATGCTAATGGATTTACGATGGGAACAGGCTATAGATGTCGCACATACTGCGTAAATGGATACCCACGGGATAGCTACCAATGAGATAGTAAGAGCTTCAAGATGAAAGGTAAATTTAAATTTACTGAATAATGAGCGAGTGTGAGATAAGCTATTCTATCGGTAGGTCAACAATTTACATGGAAATAAAATCGTAATGTAAGAGCCAAGGTGAGGCTCTGAGTACGATATGCCCGTGGGAGACCGGAATGGGCGCTGAGAGTCTGGGCAATGAGAGGGATGAAGATCGAAGAGAGGAGAGAGAGCAGTGTCATCGGTTCAGTGGCGATAAAAGTATGCGGGAAAAACTAGGTGAAGGTAGCAGGAGCGGTAAAAATCCAAGTAAGGGTTAACTAGCGTTCTATCGGAGCTCGGACAGTTTGTGCGCTACCACAAAGTCTGCGGTGAGTTGCTGCGGTAACGAAAAAGGAATGGGTCCGCATTGGAGGTCGGAGCAGGTGCAGTAACATATGAGAGAGGATGCGTGGCCGAGCTCATGGACGCGCTGTGCTTCGTTTTGGGCCGCGTGAAGGCATTTCAAGCTGATCTCATCAATCAGCCTTCACGCCTAATGGCAGGTGCTATAGACAGACTGCCTTTAGAATCATATGATTAAGGGAGCGTAATACCTGTTCAAGCAAACATTTGCCTTTGCAAATTAAACTGTGCAACTGTAAGCGCTCACATTGACACAGGTATGGGGCTCTAAATAATAGCAAAAGCAGTTCAGTCCTTTGTTGACAGGAACAAATCCTATGTTTACACCTCCTTTTTGAGTGGTCAAAAAGGTTATCGCGACACCTTAACTCGTCTGCATGTCAGCAGAAGGACATTCATGGTCCTTTCAATAAAGCCATAAACCAATTCTAGTCACCGCTGAAACAAAATAGGATTTTTTCAATACGTTCAGTCAGACCAGTGTCCTCAGAAAACTTCTAAAAATCCTGCCCCTTGCCCATTGACCTTTTGACCTTGACTCTCAATTTCGGCACAGTGATGGTTTTCCTACATGATGCTATACCGCAGACTATCACGAGCTACGGTCAAAGCCGTTTAGCATTGTGCCGCAAGGTCTGCATTTCCTCCATATACCTTAAGTTAAAGGACGTGACTTTCCCCTTCTTGGTTACCACTCTGACGCTATTGAGCATTATGACCCCCAGCTCTCGACATCCCAACGTGCGTTTGAACGACCCCCCCAATCGACGCCGAAATAGTCGATGACCGGTTTACGATCAAGGCGGTTAAGATGTTGTCGCCCACTCGTTGACCGGACGGACCCGACCGGCGGGACGGACGACCGAGACGGACCACGACGACGATCAAGCGATCTCACAAGCGCTGAGCGATCAGTCGAGCAGTGTCAGATGGAGCTAAAAGTGTGAAAGTAAGTAATCGGAACAGGTTCTGCTTAAGCTAAGCGTTTCCAATTAATCTTAGCACATACTGTTTACACTCTTGATAGGAAAACGTTACGTCACAATCCATGCTACACTAAATTAAAGGTCGGGCTCTAGTGCAATACACCAATAACAATAGCGATAGTGTCCGACACTATGACAGCAATATCAACTAAAACTGAAATAGACATATGTTAGTTTAATTCACTTAGAGCGCGAGTGACAAGTCGATGGGCTCAGCAGAAGGGTCTTTCACAGATAATAAAATTGTAGGCGACTAACGGCCTGATCTTTCCCTCTTTGGAGATTGAGACCTGGCTCTCTGCAGTGCGAATCGAGTGAACGTGAGGGCGCATGACGTTGACACACCGTACGTCCTGTAATGCGCACAGTGCCGCAAGCCTGAACGCGAGCCTCAGGTTCTGAAATCAAAGAATTTCCAATGTAATATTAGAACACTCTGACATCTTCGTTGTTGTTCTCATCGCCAGTTTAATGGGCATCACATGTATTACACATTTTAGTAAAGTACGCCCAAAGCCATATGCCGCATGCTAGACTTAGAAGAGCTCCCCGCCCCGATCGCAACCGAATATGTCTATGGTACACTATCGCTCTGACAGGTCAGCTAAAACAGTCGTACGACCACCTAGTTGTGCACTGGAGATAAAGGCGACAGAAAAGTGACAACTCTGTAGTATGGCCTGTAGTTGAATACGTAAATGTAAAGCTATATGTTGTAAGCTGCACATACAACCAAACCAACCAGCCCACAATCCACAGTGATCAGACTTTCTACAACAAACGTGTATAGAAAAAAAAAAAAGCAACTTATACAACTGGAGCACATTAAAATAACGAGTACCTAACTATCCAAATACGTGAGCCGAATCTTCATTTAAACCGAACTCAAATTGAATAGACGTCTGCTTTGCGCAGATTGTGACTCACTCCGATCGGAGAGGGGTTGTGTGTAGCAACATACAACACAAACCCACCCTAATTAAAGACTATACACCCTCCTACAATTTCATGCGACCGCCGGAGATTTTCCTGGTAAATTCAAAGATTTTATTGGAGCGAGTAAAATAGTTGGGCGCAAAAATACATGAAGCTTTAGTAATTTTTCGGCGGGCGATGACGTATCGACTACAACCGCTCGACCGTTAACCAGAGACGTACACCGCCCAGAGGACCCGGCATTTCATCCGTCGTAGCACTCCTACACATGCCCGTGCTGCCCTGAAAATCCCACATCACTGACGGCAGTCCACATACGTGCCCTTTTATGGAAGCCGCCGTCCGTGGCCCTCCCTATCTAAAGTTCCTTACAACTAACAAGAAGTTCATATAATTTCCTGAGAGATCATACGCAAATGCAACGTTTAAAGATTTAGGCAGAATCTCGACACTGCATGGTTTTCGTGGCAATAACAAATACAACTCAGGGTCGCACGCCGCATAACGGCTTGAATCGACCATCCAAGGCAGCTAAATATAGAACAAGAAGCTCGTGGTCAGAGCCGCGACTAGGCTCACGAGGTCTGTTGGTCTATGGTTATCAGAACGTTAAAATTTCACGCGTCGCTCGAGTGACAGCATTTGTTAGGCGCAAGAGTATGCCAGCTACTACGCAGTTGCGTAACACATGCATTTCAGCCAGCCTTTTTTATTATCATGTTGCTGCTCATTTGTTTTCTTGTTGTTCTTGTTTGGTCCGTTGTGTGCGGTTTGCGCCTGTAAGATCCCATTGTTGATACAAAATCGGCGTGCCTGAAACTCCTGTTTTATTGTGGCATTTAGCTCCGTAGATTCACTCTGACGAATGCCCACACCGACGAATTTTGGTCTTTGAGTGATGAGGGTTAAGCGTCAGGAACTTGCCTATGCGAAAACGGTGAATTCTGCGCGATCACCCGCCGAGGATCGCTGTTTCATTTTGCATCACAAAACTCACAATTGGGGCTATCATCAAAGATCTGATGCCACATTATATCGAACATACTGCTAATCTTATACTGCTGTCGCGTTGGTAAGTACACTTGTACTCTTTACCTCCTAGCGTAGTTTAGATATTGCAAATGTTGTTGGCCTAACAACTTTCGCCTCCCGACATGCATCGGCCATCTGCTCCTCGTTAATGCCCAACTGCATTCGTGGGAACAACAGAGTACGAGTATTTGATAGCGTTGGTTTCCCCACAAGTGCAGTTGGAACTTAACCGATGGATTGCCGACTGCGCATGTCGGAAGGGAAATGTTAGCAACAAAGAGGTTTTCAAATCTAAATACTGGACTAAGGTTAAAAGAGTAGAAAAAGAAAAAAAAAAAAAACAACAAAAAAAAAGCTGTACTTACCAACCGCGAGCAAGCATGATAAGTTTATCCAGTTTTCGATATTTGGATCAGATCTTGATTGACATTAGCCCTCAATTGGAAGTTTCGGAGGGCAATGAACATGCGATCCTCGGCGGGATCGGCGAGAAATTCCACGTTTTGCCCACATAGGCAAGTTGCTCTGCACCTAACCCACACAACACCAGCCAAAATCGGTCGTGGGCAGATTGGTCAGAAGGAATTCAAGGACATATGGTGCATGCTGACGCCTAGAACGCCGCTGGAACCCTAACCCTATTATTTATTTTATTGTAAAAAAATATTTTTGTTATTAAATGTTGTAAATAAATATGATGTGAAATATTGCGTTAATTGGGAAAAAAATTGAGTAAATAGATAAGATGAGAAAAATAACAGAAAACAATAATAAGGCTAATACTAATAAACAAATCTGAGGGATTCTGATCAAGGAACCTTTGAGCCGTAATCCTGTGCTGTACCCGGTTTTGCGCTACTCCAGACATCATTAGCATTTCTAGATACTGATGCCATGAATATGAGACACTGTTACATCAATTGAGCAGTGCTCAAGAATCCATTGTTTAACCCTCCTCCTGAGGGTCAACAAGTTATCAGACACTTACTCTTCGCACGTCAGTGGAAAGCACATTTCATGGTCCTTTCAATAAAGTGATAAAATGGTAGGTCAGCGCTGAAACAAAAAAGTTTTTCACTCTGTCTGTTAGGCCATGTCCTCAGAAAATGTCTGATATCTGACCTTTCCCCCACTGCCCTTTGACCTGTGACCTCCAATTTCGCACTGGTGATGGGTTACCTGCCCATCACACCATACACCGAATATTAAGAGCATAGGTTAAGCCATTTAGATTTGTCCCGCAATTCTGCATTTCTCCCTATATCTTAAGTTAAGGAGGGAATGCTCCCCCTTCTTTTACACCTCTTGACCTTTGACCCCCAGCTTCGACATCCCAACTCGTTTTCGGATTACCTCCTACGTCCCGATTTTCGAATCCGTACGTCGAGCCATTTAGATTTGTGCCCAACTGTTGACGGACAGACGCACGGACGGACGGACGCACGCACGCACAATCATGCGATTCTACAAGCTGCATCTGACTATGTCAGATGAGCTAACAAGGAGAGGAAGCGGATTGGCTGTGTGCTTTTCGCCTCAAGGGCGCAATTTATGGGCCATAATCAGCTGAAACGGCTGTGCAGACCGGACCCAGAGTACATTTCGAATATTTTAAGTATGTAAAGTGTACTTTTTTGCAGATTTTGAGAATTGCCTTGGTGCCCTTCTCAAATTTTGAAAATTGCCTAGGTGCCCTTAAAAAATCAGAGAATTGCCTAGGTGCCCTTTACTTTGTTACAAAATCCAAGGCAATTTCTCACGTGCCCTTTAAAAATTGCCTTGCCCCTCCTAGGGCTTAAGGCAAAGGTTGACTTCACACCTATGCATAAATTGAGGAGTTTTCGGCCATAATTTCTTGCTGCCGATAGTGCACATCCCATCCCCCAAAAGAAGTTACACACATCTGATGGCATAATGGCGGAAGAACTCTCGAATTTTAATTTTACCCCACTATTTTACCCAATCTTGAAGTCCTGCCAGCTATAGTTCCGCAGGAAATTTAGTTCGCCGGAAGCCGGCAATTGCCCAATTTTATTACTTAGGTTGTGTGCCTGATGTAACACACTACCCAATAAGGGCATCATCACACAAATTAATGCAATAATGGTGCCATTCTGCAAGTATTTAATAGGCAGTGGCTACGGGTACGGTAGCCGTATCTTAATGTCTCGAGGCTACGGGTACGGGAGTCCATTCGCTTTCATACTTAACGAGACAAAGATGGCGGCGGTGGCGCCAGATTTTGAAATAACGCCTTGGGAAATAAATTCACGATTTGAGAGTTTAGATGAGCTAGAACCCTAACCCTAAGGCCGATGAAAGTTGATTTCATGGTTCTCGTCAGGCATTGTTGAGATTTTGATGAGGGATTTAGATCAACATTCATCTTTCATCTACAAACCAATAGAACTTAGTGAGGGTATCAGGTCTTGTACATATGCAAAATAAGATTGAAAAATGTCATAACTTCTTTGTTGACAGTTTTTACTCAAATTTTTACTGTTTGTCTTCCATACATGTAGTGCTGACTGTACATTGTTGATTTTTTGAGGCGGGAATTTCATATGGGACTTTTTGATGCGGGAATTTCGTCAGCGATGAGTGTTGAACTTTTTTGGTGCGGGAGTAAAATTTGATGCGGGCGCTGACGAGAACCATGACATCAACTTTCATCGGCCTAACCCTAAACCTAACCCTAACCATAACCCTAACCCTAATCCTAACCCTAACCCTAACCCTAATCCTAACCCTAACCCTAACCCTAATGCTAAAAAGGGGCTTCAACGACCGACGGCTACCGTACCCGTAGCCACTGCGTATTTAATATTTGAGATTGTTATAACATTATTTTTGAAATAATTTTTTAGGCTTGCTAAAATGCACTCTGTGGTCGTTTTGCACTGCTCTTACAATCAGATCTCTTTGAATTTATTTAATTTCACGTTTGTATATTGTTTTTATAATTTTATGAAATGATAAGTACTGACCTGATTCGTTACCTTTCACAATTAAAACAGTGCGTGGACCAGCAAATTGAAAACACCGTGACCCTAGACCTAGTTTTTAACCATAACCAAAATTACAACCACGATAGTACTTCGTACCTAGCCAGACGCGGCTGTGAGACTCAACAAACATACATGGCCGTTAAACTGCTCCTTGCAGCGACTTAGAAATAAGAATATGATTCATGAATAACGCATTTATCAACATGTGGCCTTGAATCTTACAACGGCCTTCGCAGCATTTTCAAGTTGTTCACCAATCGGCGGTGACCACAACGCGTATGAACCTCACAAAAAGGAAACGGTGGCCACTTTAAAGTAAAATTCTTATACTTACATAATCCCGGTGATCTAATTGTGATAGATAAATAAACTTTCAGAGATATTGGCATCTAATTTTTCTAAGTTGGTCAGTTTTAACCTGCTTTGCGCAATACTACGAAGACTATAAAGACGCCATATTTGTTGTGGTTTTACAATCCAGGCGGATGCAACCGAGAAGCCTGGACGGTGTAGTGGTAGCTCGGCGCGCGGCATCTGCAACCAACTTATAAAATAACACAGAGCCATACGGTAAATGGTAGAGCCAATCTATTTCACGTTTATATTATGTTTGATTGAGTGATATATAGAACCATGCAGCAAGTGCTATGGAATAACAAATAGATGAAGACGAGATCCGTTCGATGTATCATGTTGTATGTATTTGCGTAACTCAAAAAAGCCGCGTATATGACCCAGCAATTTCTCACCCGGTGGCGCTTCATGGTCATTTTCAACAATAATAGCAAGAAGCGGTTTGAGTATTGGACGTTCTAACCTCGTAACTTCGTAATTATTCGTCTTCAAAGTCCAAGGGATTATATCAAATAAGAAAAGAGACAAAGTTGATGAAATAGACAGATCAACACTGCGGATCGCAGTAAAAAAAACCTAAAGTTTGCAACTATAACTAAAGAGGAAGGGAGAGAATTCCAATACGGAATGACAGAGACAAAGAAGCTGAACTTGAAGGGGTCCTTTGAAGATGGCACGTGTCGAAAGCAATAATCACGCTCAGATGAATGGAACGAACAGGCTTTATCAAGCAAGAGGGAATGCCAATCTTCACCTGACCATAATAATTTTTATGAAAGGTTATAAGTTTAGCCGGCATCATCACAACATCAGAACTGGCATGATAGTTTTTTGAACCCCATCTTGCAGCGTTATGCTGAATGGCATCCAATTTAGAATAGTTCTGGAGAGTATACGGGCACGCCGTATCATATCAAGACACGAGACGCTTTCTTACAAATATATTCAATGTGGGCATTCCAGCGAAGTTCTCTACTAATAATGACACCCGAATATTTGTAAGTAGGGGTAAGAGATTGATATTCATGGTACAGCGAGTAAGTAAATGTAAAGGGTGATTTAGACCGGGTAATACGAAAAATTTAAATTGTTCAGTATTGAAACATACACCACGTTGTAGCCCACTTCTCACACGAGTAAGGACACTCTGGAGGGCTGACTGATCACCCTTATTGGAGATAGTGCGGTATAGAACTGTGCAGTCAGCAAAGAGGCGAATAGAAGTAGTAGAGTCAGTTTCGGCCAACAAATCGTTTATAAAGGATAAGAACAACATTTTTAGTTAAAAAAAGAAGAAGTTATGCTAAAACCTGTAGGGGAATTTTCATTATTATATTTGACGAAGGAAATTAGTAATAACTACAATAAAAGTGTTAGACATTTTATTCTAGTTGTTATATGACGTCACGCAATTCTATGAAAGGTCTGAATCCGAGAAATGCACACGCGCGCGTGTATGTGTGGCAACATATATTGCATAATTCACAGATAAAAGCGGGAAGAAAGATAATTAAGTTTGCTTTATTACCACCATTTTTCTTTCATTTCAATCAGTTATGTGTAAACATCGTGATATCAGACGCAATTAATGCGCTCTTACAGTTTTTACAAATAGCCTCAATCGTTGCATATAACTTTTGTGTAAATATCCATATCGATAAGGCCGCGTCTACCAAGGGCGCATCCACGAATTATTCTATTGGTTTATTGCCTCCTTAGTAAGTGAGTTATGACCATACACATTATCTGTTGTTATTTGTTTTCATTCCAGTGTCCCTAAATTTAGTGAAATATTTGTCAGGTAGGCCTATGTGTTAGGGGGTTATTTCTGAGTGGTTTGTTAAGATGGCAGACGCGTAGCTGCCTTTAGGCAAAAAGGCACGTGCCTGCACATCATTTAAAAAAAAAAGTTTAAAAAATTAAATGAAGCATACAATTTATTGCGCTAGCGTGTGTGTGTGTGTGTGGGGGGGGGGGCGTTATTAAGAGCACCAACAGACACATGCACAAACGCGCGCCAAACACACACACACACACACAACGACCCACGCCCGTTTGCACACACGCGACGCACGCACACGTAGCGTTCACACGCACACACATCACACCACCAGACGATCACACACACACACACACACACACACACACACATTTTGACAAAGTAACAGGCAAGGACGTAGAATAAGTACTACGCCTTATAATTAATCATAATTAAGTAAGCTGTATATATGAGTTCATTTATCTACTGAAGTATGTCCTCAGTAGCGGATTCATGGGGGGTGGATTGGGTGGCCAGCCACCCCTTTCTCTTGAATGAACAATATATTTACACACATACGGTACCAATTAATTATTGTCAAGTAGGGGCCCTATAATAGTCACGCGGCTGTACAAAACGGCACCTGATGCATGGGTTAATTATGTAATTGAGAGGCGATGCAGGTTAATTAAACTATTTTGCAGCTTTTTCACAATTCCAAGAAAGAGTTTTGCTGTCGTTCTCATCCTAGCGGTGGTCACCCCCTACATATACAATAATAAACGCGACCTAAACAATGCTGCACCCCCCCTCCCCCTGTACATCAATCACTGCCGCGCTGCAAGCCCAAGAAATGTTCTACTAAAAATATAATTGTCGTAGTCAGAATGAAGGCTGTACATGTACTCAAAAGTACCTCAAATACCATCTCCTGCGATCTACATTTTCAAAATTTGTAAATGTATTTGTATATAAATGCAAGTGTGTGGTATTTAATTAGGTATTTTTACCGCACTTTTAGTTGATATGTTTTAGTCTATATGATGTAGCGTGTTGTAGGAATACCCTTTTATTGCGCGTAGAGCATAATTTTGTAGTGTGATTAGTCGATCAAGAGCTGACTCAAAAGGAAATTTATTAGCAGTGTATATCCATATATGAGGTGCGACAAGCAGAGTGACGAGTATATTTGCAGCTCTGTGACTGTCTCTGTATGTAGTTGCCCCAATATCTGTCTGAGAAAGCTAACACTTGTATAGGCCTACTTATCTTGTCTACTATGTAGTCAGTATGGTCATTCCATGTTAGTCGCTATTTTATTTTCTTACCTAAAAATGTTACTTTTCTTTATTGCAGTATCGAGTTGTTAGTTAATTCTAACTCGATTTTGTTTGTATCCTCAAGTTTATTGTTAGTTACATGTATCGTCAGCATATCGAGTCAGTTCACATTTTTTAGTACGTTTGGTAATTGTTGATGCATATATGCAGAATAGTAACGGTTATATTATCCCCTAAAAAAGGATGTCACCAAGTACTGTAGTTTATTCAATTTTAAAGGAGACATATTTCTAATACATATTGTTAAAATATTTGGTTTGCAGTCTCAAAGGCGGGTCTGGTGCCTTGGTTTGCTTCTGGATCCGTCCATTGTTCGCGGACATTGTGACAATATTTATTACTTTATATTAAAAAAAAAAATATATATAAAAAAAAATATATATATATATATATATATATAAATATATATTTTATTTTAAATTGCATAGTGTTTTAGAATATATATTTAATTTATTGCTCGAACGATAGAATTTGCACTAAGAGCGCATTGCTTGGGATTTTTGTCGTACGCGACGTACGGTGTGACAAGTATTACGCGGAATGAAAAATCGCGTAATAATGGAGTAATAATTATTATTACACATCTATATTTATCACCGTGTGGGTATAACTGTAGTTACTTTATTCAGAGAAGTGAAGATGTTTTTGGTAGTGTTTGTAGCTGTTTGATATGGAGCATGTTGCTGCATGTGTCGTTCACTCGTCTATGGTTCACTATAGTGAGCGCGGCATTATCGGTTACATGTGTCTTTCATGCGCGAAATCATGTTGAGCTATAAAAGGAAGCATGAGGCTGGACTTAGACCAATAGTAGCACAACTGTGTGACATCATCTACCTAATATGCGACATATGCAAAAAATTCCCTCTTGGTAACGCCTCGATGCAGCAAACATATATTTTTCGATCGTAAACGTGATAGGCGACTAACGTTTACCATATCACAAATCGATTTCATCGATTTTTATATAGTTATATGCCTATAATGGGCATTATTTGCACTAGATGACATGCCGAATTCTAAAATATGACACGTATACGTGTTTATGCCGAAACGGTAAACGTTAAGCGAATTCTCCCATATCAACGTTCAGCCATATATCATCTTCCCAGTGAGAAAAAAAATTATGCGACGGACATGTCACGATGTGTGCTGTCCCTGAACCAGGCATGTACTCCTGATGCGACATCGAGTGTTTATAAACATTTGACCTCCTACATTATCATAGCCGGATCCCGGATTTGAAGTAAAGGGGCGCCTTGTGAGCAACGATCGAGGTTGTGAAGCCCGAGGCGGGTGTCCGGGGAACCTCTGCCGGAATTGTTCTAATTAAATCAAACCTCGTCGATACAATTTCTCATATATCTGACACTAATTTGTTCTAAAAGACTAAAACACAACGCATATTTTTGAAGCCTAGAGAATACGTAGTGATTGACTCTAACTTGTCAAATTCAAATTCTATTGAATTGTCAAATTAAATTGTCACATTGAGCATTGGACAAGTCACGCCACAACGTTAGACCTCAAAAAATTTTGCTTGGTAAAAAATATAGAAAGGGCACACACCGACTGCGATCCCTCTCCATTGAATCCATGCATGGCCTATATTAATTATAGCTTCTATTATATTCTATTCTATTCTATTATATTCTATTATAGCTTCTATTTCCTTGATTTGCTATTGATCTCTGCGATGTAAATTGATCTCCACAGGCATATATTCGCGCAGGATTCCCGGAATCGTTCGGTATATGGTCCAGATGGTATTGCCTGCCTGCTTTTCGTTACCAACGATCCTATTCACACTCACGCCTACGCATACTCAGCCAGCCTGCGCGCCCATCTACGTATGTAAGCTCCGCATGAGTGCCCACGTGGCCAGATAAACGTCATCGTATATAGGGCTGCCGACGTCACACAAACGCCATTCCACCCACGGCGAGCGCTTCGCACGTAGCAGCGGTCCAGACGGATGTAGTATAATAACTGCGTATGCGTACAATCCATCTGGAGAATTTATTTTACTTTATTTAAGTGTAACATCATCAAAACGGCAACACAGAATTGTACTCAGAACGCCGCAAACGAAAGAGCGGCGGGTCTTACGGAAGATAAGCGCAGTTATTATCGTTCTGGATCACCATGTGCTGGAGCGATGGATTCTCCAAACTTCTACGATTTTGACAGTGAAAAGTGGCATAAGACGGAGAAAAACCCATTTCTTCTCAGCGAGGACTCCGAACCGGAGTGCACAGATCTTGGCTACACAGAAACGGCCCTGGATTTTAACGGGTAGGTAGTAGACTGACTGGGATACCCGCACTTCGATGATTTTTACAACCATGCGACCTACTGAGCTCATTCATTGGTTTCGCGCCATATTGGATAAGTCTGGTGAAGGGATTACGAATGTCTGGAAGAAACTGCTCAAAGTTAACGAAATTCTAATCGGTTAGAAGAGTGAGGTTAGTCGCAAATTTAGAATAGGTGTTTCAGTCATCTGGTTTACACGTAAAAGTGAAATTTAAAGGTACCATGACTGAATAAATTACGCGGTGTGTACGCAAGTAGAAGTACTACATATGGTTTGACTGGCAACGTGTTACTGTTAGGTATAATAATAATATTAGCAACAGAAAAGTCTGTCACTTCCAGTGCCACCACTACCATTACCAGTATAGTAAGGGTGCGTCAACGTATATAATATAGATGAGTCGACACATTTCTTTTCCCCTCGGTGTGTTTATATACGACGAAACGTGAAAAGTATGTAACAGATGTCACTTTTTTACTAAAATTTTGTCCTAATTTTATGTATAGTAGTCGACAATTATTGTAAACACTGTCTGATATATAAACATTTCTACATACTCAGCCATCTGATATCAGTTGTATCTAGATTGCGTGTACGTGTATCAATACTCAAATCTGTACGTGTATATTACAGCTTACTGAACGGCTCCTCCTTCTTGATCACACCTGAGGCTGATCTGTTGGACAATATCTTCGGCCAGAGGGACGACTCGGCATTCGACGTGGCTATCGGCTGTAGCGAATCAGCATTGCCAACTGCTGACACCTACATGCCCCCAGCCACCAGCAGCAGCATCAGCACCAGCAGCAGCAGCAGCGCTCTAGCGACGTCGGAAGCCGATGTGTGGTCGTACGTGAAGGTGAAGCCAGAGCCGCACGAGGGTTACTTGAGATCGAGCTGCCCGCTGACGCTGCAGCCGATCGAAGTCGAGCACAACTACACGTCGCCGTCCGCCAGCACTGCGACCCTACCGACCGCCGGCGCCACCACCGTCAGCGAGCAGGCGTTCGCGAGCTGCGTGACCGCTGCCGCCGTTCCCGCCGGCCACGGCATACGAGTGACTACGACATCGGTGATCGGGGTTCCGTCGCCGCAGAGTCCGCGGCGAGCACGCGGTGGCGGCAAGGCGGCGCGGAAGAAGCTGGTTGACCGGGAGAGCGAGGACTATCGGTGCCGGCGCGAGCGCAATAACATCGCAGTGCGCAAGTCGCGGCAGAAGGCGAAAGAGCGGCACGTCGAGACCGAGGACAAGGTGAAGGACCTGGCGAGTCACAACGAGGCGCTGCAGCTGAAGGTCGAGACGCTGACACAGGAGCTGAATGCCATGCGACGGCTGCTGTCGAATGTCGCTGCGAGTAGACTCGAGAGCCGGTCGCTCAACAAGCTCGTGCTCAAGCCGGAGTGAGGCGGAGCTGAGCGTCGCCGCGACGACCTGCGTCCGTGTGAGCGACGCGTGTGATGGAGAGCCGACACGTTTTTTGTCACCGTACGCTCACTATCGTCTCATAGTCGTCGTTCTCTGCAGCCTGCTGAACGCCGTTGTCTGGTTCGGTCGGGGTGCCACTGCTTATGGAAACGTAAACGGCGAAGATGTAGTCGATGATGGTGGCAGGCCCCATGGCTTTGGTGTGAGTTGCGCTGGAATCGTTGAAGAAGCCTCGTGCGTGAAGGGGTGCAAGCGTGTTCGTAAATCGGGTTCAGAAATTTGGCAGTTTGCTTGTCATGAGTGTGCAGCTTTGCAGTCAGCCTACAGGAGGCAAACGTGGAAAGGCAGAGCCCGTGCTTTCATGCATAAATTTACACAGTATATATTTAACACCAGCTTGCTTGCAATGAGTAGGACAATGCGTAATTGTAGTTTTGGCATTTGTAGATGCGAGTCTTGTTTGCATGCTCTTTGTATGGAAAGCGAACTGGAAGGGTTTAGGAATCTAACCTACCGGTATATTCAGCTACTGTATCATAGATACCTGATTAGGCCTTGTAGATGTGCATGTTTCTTTCGTGTAGCACCAGATAGCTCTGTCTTTAAGTATTTGATGCACTTCAAGTTCGTTATTAAGTGGCTATTGTTGTTAGTTTAGGATAAATTATATTACTAAGTACAATGACGTTCCAGATTCTTTCAATCCGCCTTGTACGAGATGGAATCTTTGGGGTCACTTGATACATATTCAATACATATGTTAATTATGACCCTATTGATGCTTTGTCCTATATAAACAATTTAAATGGGAAATATTTCTACTTTTATTTTTGCTAGCAAAAAGAAATCACAAGTTACCATGAGCATGTGAATGACTGGTGGCAAGGTGCAGTGCTAGGAATGGCCCTGTGCCTGGCTAAGCATGAAGCAGCTTCATGTACATGCAGGTTTATATAGAATATGCATATATTCTGTACATTATACATTGCAATTTACACCGGTTAAACAAAATGTGTGATCACCTCCGTGACAAATGCAAGAAAGACTATGAGAATACATAATGAACGCTATTGTGTTTGCTATGCATTCTTGATTATATATAATATAATATAGTATAATATGATATAATATCTTTCTTCCTCTGTATTGTATATGTGTGTTGTATTTATATGCATATAATTAAATATGTATATGGGTCTGATATGGGTATTGCATAATCAGTTGGAAAGATCGTGGCATGGACATTTTAGGCAATTATGTGAGATTGATTCTCAGTTTCATGGTATTCTCTGCCCACTGGATAATATATTGATAATATTTTATTGAACTCATTTGTGAGGATATTTTATTATATTCAGGGCTTGTTCTGTCTATTTAAATAATAATTTAAATCTGGTCTTAGCAAGTTGCTTGCAAGATAGGTGTTTATGTATACTTGTGATTATTTACTAAGTTAATTATATTGTAGTTTTCCGAACGTTTTAACCTTGCCCGTCTTCCTCGACCATACCTGTTAGAAAGCTATAGTGATTGTTGTGTCCTGGAGTATGTTGGCACGTTGTGTCTGTACGTGCTAAATACCGTCTGTGGTGGTATTGTGAACGTTGGTGCCATGGTGCGTTGCTGCTAACTCAAGCCAGACCTGTAAAGTAGCATTCGTTTCCAGAACCTTATGTTATGTTATGCAGTTGAACTCATAGATATTCTAAATATCCACCCAAGGCTTATTTATTATAGGATATCTATATGGGTTTAACCTGTTTCTTGACATGAGTTACATGCTTAATTAAGCCAAATCAACAATAGAATTAAGCTTGGATCATTGTGAGACTCTACCCAAGCGTCCACTATTTATGGTTTGTTATATAGTTAGTGTATACTTGTTGGCTACTCAATAATGGTAAAAATCGCAGTCTTGGAAAAAAAATAAATGTTGCATCGTGGAAATTAACATTTTTGTTTAATCTCATATTTTTGTGCGATGGAATTGTGAGGTACTTGAGCAGCTGTTGTGTGTGGCCGTCGATAATAGTGTAACAGGGTAAACTGACGGGGGAAATCCTATCAAATGAAAGACTCCTATAACTGTCGACAAGTAGTCACTGGTGGACGGGGAGGCTATGAATCAAAAAGCTTCACGTAGACCAAAAGACCAAATCCATAGCAACTACAGAACAGCGTAAAATCGATGAGATGCGGTCACTGAACCGGCGCTGACCCTTGCAGCTGGTTCACCTATGCGAGAAGCTGCTTGATCTAGCATCCCGCAGTATATGTTACGAGAGCCTTGTTTTGAGTTGTGGGCTTGCATTTCTTATTAGTTCAGGTGCCTATTTAACGTAAGTTTGTCGTGAATGGCTTGTATCCAGCTGCAGACCAGTAGGCCTACTGGTTGTACTTTCATTTCTGCATGCATGTGCGTGCGTACTTGTGCGTGCGTGCGTGTCTGTGTGTACCCAGAGAATGTATGCTTCAACACGTCGCTATATCCTATTTAGCCCTAGTTATGCCTAGCAGACTATAAGCTGCCTTATTATGTATCAATAGAGTTAATCTACTGAACACAACGGGTGCAATCGCAAGACGAGTTGAGTCGCGGATGTCAACGACCCGCTGCCACCGTGTCGCGCGTTCCAGAGAATCCGGACTCGAAATGCCACTCGATGTAGATCTAGAGTGGTAGGTAGCTCAGGGGTTATGGTTAGAGACCGAACTAAACACAGAGACAAACACACGCGCGCACACACACACTATTCGTCTAAACCAGCAGCAGCCGCTGATATTAGAGATATGAGATAGATATACTATCTGATTATATGAAAGATAATGCGGTTCTCTTGCTAATCCTAACAAGGGATGCGTGAAGCAATCGTGCGTTTATATTTATCATCGCAACGATGCAGTGCATGGTTGCACATACACGGCGGTCAATGTCCAGCATATTCGCTACAATGCAAGCTAATCGAGCTACTCCTAGATATTCTAAGAATGTCTGTCTGTTATACAGACCTTAGTCACAGTCTTGCTGTCAGACTAGTCATTGCAGCTTTCACAGTACATGTGTAGTTTAGATTAATTAGAACTTGACAACAATTCCTTCTTTTAGCTACAATATAAAACTCATTATTAGTATTCATGTTTACTTTTCATGTTCAAAATATTATATCTAACTACCTATGACGTCATTTTCCGTCATGCTCTATGTCCTCATCCGCATTTTTTCTCTGGGCAAAAAGTCCAATAAACGCTAAAGGGCAATGAGCAGCAGTCCGGTAGTTGTTAGCCTTTTCAATAATTTAAACATATTCTCATCAGATAAATGCACAGAAATATATGTTATATTAAAATTCAACGTCTAAACTTCAATGTCAATTTCTATGTCCGAAATATAACAAGAATGACTCTTGGCTAGCATATCCTACTTATTTTTTTAGCTGGCATAACAACTACCGCAGTTGCCTTCGGATTGAATATCATTGCGACCCGCTAAGCAACACGAAAACATACATCTGTATATAATAAGGTCATAAATCTTTCATATTATTATTCGTTCAAGATGAACACATTTGTGGGCCTCGTGTATAATTATGCCACGTGACGATCACATAATAATAATATGATGAATGTGCGAATGCCCGCGAATGAATGTGCGTTACCCCTTTACTCGCGCATCGTCTATATTTCAATAACATATATTATGTACACTCATGTACGATTGCATCCAAGCTTGTAAGTTTGACAGGCGTATCCATTCACATGAAAATCGCGATCTGTATAATGACTCCTGTTGCCCGAGATAAATTTGTAGATGCACGGATAATTAGGTTTGAGGTGTATCGTTTTTATCTCATGTGGGAAAAACGCGATATATTCTGCATAACGCAGGGTCGTTGTTCTACATTTGTGTGACAGGTGAACTCAGGCGACCATTAAGAGTCACATTAGTTGAGTAATAATGTCAATGCCCTCTGTTCCACGCTATAGGCGAACAGTGCATACTGCGCTTATGTTAAGAGAGAATGTGACTTATTCACCGAAACACATGCTCACGCACGCGCTCACGCACGCACGCACGTACTCGCCCGCCCGCACGCACGTATGCACGCACTTTTGCCCACCCGCACGGACGCTCACAGCGATGTATAGACACGCGCACAGATACAGGTTCAATGTCAATGACCCTGCTTCGAGTGTTATGAGAGATGTATAGGTGGTAAAGTGGTGATGGTGGGAAATTAAACTGTATAGGCCGTGGTCATAATAAATCGAACGTCACACGGCTTCTATGCTGCGGTGATTCAGTAATTCATAGAATAGAAAATCGCACAGGGTGTCGATAATATGCAAGACAGCTTACGATGCTTGATACGCATATCTCGCTGTGGTTCGTTCCTCCTTAAATTAGCCAATTCATTGGAAATGTAAAAAAAATCTTCTCGTTTGTCACAAGCTTGTGTGATCGCGTTCATGCACAAATGTGTTTGTTTGTTTGCGTGTGTGTGTGTGTGTGTGTGTGTGTGTGTGTGTGTGTGTGTGTGTGTGTGTGTGTGTGTGTGTGTGTGTGTGTGTGTGTGTGTGTGTGTGTTGTTGTGTTGTTGTTGTTGTTGTTGTGTGTGTG